TGTTGTCTTGTAGTCTTGTTCGCTGCGGATCCTGGGCCGTGTCAGGGGGAGGGGGGGGGGGATTGGGTTCGGAGTGGCGCTGGCTCTTTCTCCACGAACTGCTGGAGAGGGGAAAGCGACAACGATCGGTGAAAACGTGCTGGCGCCCTGCCGAATCCAGCCCTCTGACACGCACCAGCATCCAGAGAGCGTAGCATAGTGCTTTCACTGCGTATTTCAGAATGGGCAAAACTACGTTATTGAAACATATAGGATCAAGACGTTTGCACGGAATTCCTTCCAGCATTGATATTCTTTACTGTGAACAGGGTACGTTTATTTAACGAACCAGTTCGCAATAACCTGATAGGTAGAATTCATTTCCTGTGAATGATTAGAAGGTCTGCAACAGATTTTGAACGAAATGGTGCCGGTTGTGGGCAGCAAGACAATCGTGGTTCGTCGCGTCGTCACGCTTGGCTATGCGTGAAACATCGAGGACTAGCCGCACATCGCCGCACAAGGCCTCGCGCGCGGCGACGTGCTTTGAATTCTCTGAACTTATGTGAATTTGAGCGAAGAAAATTTCCATGACGTGGCGATATTAAATTTTCATGTCGCGTTAACCCTCAACCTTAGACTTCCGCGCAAGGACAGCCCGTTTGTCAGTCGCGACATCGCTCGCCACGCCAACCGGAGCGACATGTTAGCGCGTTGTCGTTAGCCACGCCCATCAGTGCCGCATATTACGATTGTCTTGTCACATAACTCCGATTGTATACCACCTCGTCCTTTAAAGGTCTACTAAACACGCCACTGGCGGCCATTTCGTTCTATCGCGCCATCTTCATTCCGCTCCCATACTTTGTATAAAAGTCATCAAATCTATTAGTAGTGCGCCCGCTCATAGCACATTCTTGATCATTGAGCGTCTCTGCTCTCTATTTACCCCATACTTGTCCAGTGCTGAAAATCAGGTGCATTTATTTGGTGGCGTTTTTGACGGCCCCTTCTGGCATCCGCTAGCACTAGCAGTCGCATCGTTAAACTATCGCTCAACGGGCTCGGCGAAGCGATTCCCGGGTCGCAGTCTCCTGTACGATATTTTAAAATCGTGTTGTTTGCTTCTTCAGAAATCGCCGTGGATAGCACTTCTGCAATTGATACTGTTGTGAAGTCGGACAAGAAGAGGCTTGCGTTGCTAGAAGAAGAGTCGCAGCTAACAAAGCAACTTGGAAGAAGGGGATAGCAGTGTGGTGCAACGACTCCAGGACATTGCTCGTGAACTTAGGGACATTGGTGCCGATGCAGCTGAACCTCGAGCGCGTCGTATCCTTGCTGGTCTAGGATTTTCGAAAGAGATGCAGGACAAAGCTGTTGAGGTGAGAATGTGTACACA